CTGATTCTCCTTAGTGGGGTAAGGGTTGTCGTCATATATACTTTTCCACCAGGCAAGGGTCCTCTACCAGTCGATTGTGAGTGGCGTTCTACCGGGTTGGGCGGACTAGTATCCAATCGCATCGAATTCGATCGAGGGGGAAGCCAGGTCGTCTCATTTTTGCGTCTAGCAGCCCATCGATTCGCCGCAATCATCGTTTCAGCCATCCGTTGGTTCTCCTCAGTCCCTATCACATGTTGTTTGAAATAGATCCAGTCCGATTTGGTTCGAGGATCGGTGTTATTTACCACTACCACTTTCAGTAGCTCTTCCTTCAGGCCCTGTATGGCTGAGGCGATTTTCATGGCATCGGGTACCTTTCCAAGGTGTGTGGACCAAAGTTCAAAGTTGGCAAAATACTCGGCGGCCGTATCCGTCTGTCTTAACTCCTGCAATTTCCTCATAGCCGTACCTGCCATGTTACTGTCTCCAAATTGAGTTCGTAAATGCTGGATGAATTTGTCGTAGCTCTCTAGCCATTCGGTCGAATTCCATATACTTGGATTGGTTATGGCCGGGGTTATAAGCATTTGAGGGGTGCCTCGAAGATACCCGTACATGAACAGGATCTTTCTGCGATCGGTGGCGTACTCTGCCCCTTTGAATTCGAAGTTCATGTGACATGCTGCAAGGAAGTTGTCCAATTCTCCTCGTTCTCCACTGAAGGTAGGTGGATCCGCACACCTGGTTCTTCCTGTTTGTTCGTTGTTGGTAAGTTTTGGCTCCAAACACGGCTTGTTTTCTTCGACTTCGATCAAACTTGCCCCTTTCGATGTGAGTATCTGTTGGTTCTGTCGGTCAGCTTTCATCGTAGCCAGTTCTTCCCTTAATGCATTTTGTTCCTTTTGTTGCATCGTCATAATGGCTAACAATTGTGACAACTGCTGCGATAATTCATTTAGCGGATCTGGGGTAGTGGTAGTAGAAGTGAGATCATGTGAAATGGTACTTCTCGAAGAACTTGTTGGTATTTCTTCCTCTGGGACCAGCCCTTGTTCCAACTCCTCTTTTCCTGGTATCATTTTCCGCGCTTTCCCTCTGGTGAGCATACAGTACTCTCCGATTCGACCCAAGGTGCGTAAGGCTGATTCTTCAACTTGTAACGGTACTGGAAACACGACGACTAGGTCGCAGGTTGGGTCGAACTCGATGGAGGTCTCGTGGAAGTCTAGGGGCTCTGGTGCTAATGGATCGTGTCTCCTCTGCAATCGATGTAGCCAAAGAATGATATTGAAGAATCAGCAAAGTTGGTACTTTGCTGATTGTACTATATACTGTCTACAGGTATCCGTGTCCTCCTCTCAGTTCCTACTGCAAGCGTCTATGTACATACTCGGACAGGTGAAAAACCGCTTTTGAGCAAACCCAGTGGGGAAATCTCGAAAAGGGAAAACCCGTCCCTACCTACTGCAGCACTGCCTCCAACTCCCGCTTTCCTCTGTCCTAATCCGTCGAACTCGATAGAGTCCTCTCGATTCGTTGTTACCCCGTAACACCACTCCTCTTGATCCGCTTGAAGGTCTGCCCGTAACTGCTCATTTCCTCCCTCCAACTGCTCTTTGAGTTCCTTCAACCGTACATTCTCCATCTCAGTCTCATTTTGCATGGCAGCGGTAATTTGCACAAACTGCAATGCCTCGCCGTTTTGCTGTTGCATTGTCAACTTAGCGGCTTCGGCCTCCGAAAGACGAGCTCGGAGAGTTTCCAATTCGGTGTTTTCCTTCTCAGCCATCTGTCTGGCCAGATCTGAACACCGCTGTTCAGCAGACTGACGAGCCTGAGCCTCCTTTTCCTTATCCCCCATTGCACTAGCGAACCTCTGGCTCATAGTCTTGAGCCCTTCCTGTGTCTCCTCCAACTGCTTTCGGATTGAAGCAATTTCGGCGTCTTTTTCGGCGGTGACTCGGGCAACAGCATGATCTCTTTCCTCATTCTTATCAATCTGCTCTTTGTACAGCCGGTCCAGTGTCTTTACCTCTCCTTGAGCCACATCTCTTTCAGAAACCACCGAGTCATACCGCGCTTTGAATTCGCTCCATGTCCCATTGATAGCTCTCACACCCGAAAGTGATTGTGTGACACTTTCGGAGTAGGCTTGATGCCGTCCTCGGTTGATTTCTCGGTAATAGTCTATCATTTCGGAAACTTGAGCGACCATTCGGGAAGAGAATTGCTCCTCAAACTGAGCCTGAGTCTCTTGAAACTCACTCATACGATGCAGACACTGTTCAACTTCGGGCATGGTAGACGGTGGAGCTGGGATGTAAGGGACAACCTTTTCGGGTACAGGCTGGTCCAAAGAAGGGACAGTGGGCCTTTCGGTCCGAAATTCGGGCTGGAGTGGTGGGTTCATTTGAGGGAGTTTACTGACCACATTGACCGAAGTGACAGGAATGGAGGGTATCTGACCTGGCAAAGCTGTGGGACCAGAGCCAACGAATTCTGAGTGAGAACGAAGGAGAGAAGTGGGAGGTGGAGTCTGAGGGGGGGCCGATTGGGAAGCAAAGATTGGAGGAACTATGGGTTTCGGAGCCATCGTGGGTTTCGGAACATTGGTCGATGGGTTCGGACCAGGATGACTCTGCACACCTGATCGATCCAGGCCCTTCTGCTGTAGCCACTGCTTTACCGCTGCAAACGTGTGTAGTGAGGTAGGTAGTGGGGAGATTTGGGGAGGGCCAGAGACGAGAGAAGAAGACCCAGGTTGAAGGTTTGGAGGAGGGCCTGCTTTCGGAGCAGGGGAGGGGCTGGGGAAGGGGGCGGGTGTGACACTTTTAGCTTTGTGAGGCGAAGGGATTGTTGGTGATTCTTGCAATGTAACACCCAAAATGGTCTGTGTTTGTGCTATAAATGGGTCTAGAGCAGAGGGAACGGGTTGTTGTCGAAGAGATACGGCAGGAGAAGGAACAGGACCAACAGGGGACATTGTGGGCACCTTTTCGGAGGTAAGATCCATTTCGGGCTGGGGAGGACCTTGTTCAACGGAGAACGGCCGAGCCCGTTTCGGTTCGGGCTGGGACTCTTCTACATCCTCCAGGGCACGCTTGTTCACAGGAGGATGAACAGGACTACTTCGGACAAGTATGGGAGAAACCCCAGCTGGCAAACCTGCAGAGAAAACGGGGGGGGCGGTTTCGGAGGGTTCCTTTTCGGGAACAACATCGGCAAATTTTGGAGGGCGGGGAGGGAATCGTGGCCTCTCATTTCGGGCTGTAGATTGTTCCGGTTGAGGTCTTTCTTCCCCATCATCTTGACCCAAGCTGGAATCTTGAACAAGAATAGGACCAGCTGGAGAAGACAGTTCTGTTTCTCCCTAAAAGTCAGCTGCTGAGACTTGCTTTCGGTTCGGAACTTAGAAAACTCACCTCCGAACGAGGTTGCTCTCTAGCAGACGTAGGCGCTTCGGTGAGAGGTTTTGGAGAAGGTCTGACAACCCATTTCGGACGGGGTTTTGCCGCATCCCCAGCTGCGACAGTGCCTCCCCTAGCAGTCCTACGCTTGTCCTTCGGTCCTACCGGTTCCTGCAGTGGCGCATTTGAGAACCCAATCGCCGTGGAAGTTGCAGGGGGTGCTTTTTCTTTTCCCTTTCCTTTTCCTTTTTCGGGAGGGGGGGGAGAAACCGATTTCTTGGGAGCCGAAGCTCTTGTAGAGCGTGTTGTGGTGGCTGGCCGGCGAGGTTTCGGAGGGGAGGGATGTCGTGAATGTTCAGAGTCCGATGAGTCCGAATCAGAATCCGAGCTGTCCTCAGGCTTGTCCTGACCTTGTGATGACTTTTTCGGCCGTTTTTCACTTTCGGAGGACTCTTCGACAAGGAAATTGGTCGGCTTGCCCTTGAGGGAGCAGGTGAGAGGGGGCTTTGTGGAGTTATAACAGTGGACACAGACACGAAACTTTCCTTCGTCCCAACGGTTGAGAAACACTGGTCGACCATCAGGTACATTGACACATTTCACTTCGGGATGCCTGAGATCAGCATTGAGTTTCGTTAATTTCACCCGAATTCGAGAGCCATATTTGACAAACAAATACTCACGTGTAATTGAAAGCCGAAACACAAAACTGGACATGACAGTTTGGCTTCGTCGCCGACTCATCCGCCGAATAGCATCGTGACCCTCTAGTAATCGCCCGAATACCCTCTTCCTTCATTTGTTTCGGGGTAGCTTCCCGAAGTCCTAGCTTTTCAGCATGCTGGGGAAGATACTTCGGCTCTGCATGCCACCAGGGTTGGAGGTAAAACCCTATCTCAGCTTGAAAAGAACGAAGTGATTTCTCATTCTTCCAAATGGGGTGTTGTGGCTGAAGATATTTTTGGAAATGAACATGGTCGGGGTGTAATTTGTAACCCTTCGGAGGGTTTACAGTGGATTTATCTGTTTTTGGGTCGAAGGGGTTCGGCATTTTGAGAAAGAGGTCAAAGAGGTCAGAGAGATTGGGAGGAAGGGGGAGTGGGAAGACTCTAATTTTGATGATAAGATAATTCGGACGAGCCAAGGGGGAAGGTGAGATGAAGCACACAGATGCAGAATGAGCAGTGAGATCAGTTGAGAGTGAGCAGTGGAGAGCAGATGAAAAACGGTGGCTAATGTAAGCTGGAAAAAGAGAAGATGCTGAAGAGAAGTGAAGTGAAGTGAAGTGAAGAGAAGAAGTGAATTCAAGGAATGAAAAAGGGGGAAAATCGCGTCAGCCCGTGTTAGTACTTAGTAGAAGTTCAACCAACCCCATCACCATCAGAAACATGTCAACATGATGGATCCTTGCAAGGATTTTGTGCATTCAATACCATGCATGTGTTAACATGAATATAAAGATACACGCATAGAATCAGGTATCCACTTGGGTAGATTGCTGGTCAGTAGTGAGTATGTGACTATGACCGAAAGCCCCCGAATTCTGCCGAAAGGGGACCGAAAAGCAAAGTGTGATTTCGGGTTCGGGACATTGCCCCTTCCCCTGGGGTCAATACTCCGAAAGATGTTCCGAAAATGGTATGAATAGACTCAGAAGGTGTCAGGCATTCCAATGATATCAGAAAAGCCACGGAAAGATGATTTTTTTATAGTGAAGGGATTTGGGTCAGTAGTGACGGGATATGGGAGTTGAACGACGTATTTTGGGAGAAAGTGGCAAAATTTCGTCGGGATTAATTCGAGTTCCGTCGGGATTATCCAGTTTTGCGCAACAACAGCGCAGGTGAAGACCAGGGTTGTTTATTTGATCCCCCCATACATGCCATACACCGTTCTCACTCTGACGGTCTGCTGCATGCTTCGTCCAGTAGCTCGCTCCATGTGAGCCCGTTTATAAGAGAAGGCCTTGAGGGTTCGGATATTGTCCTAACATCACTGACTTGTGGTAGACCTTGTGACCACCTCTCCCACTTGGTCAATTCGTCGTCGCTGATCCTGTCCGCAATTTTGTCATCAGCGCCAGGGCGGGGCAGAAGCTCTGAAAGGGCGCCTTCTGGGTGTTCAGATGGGAATGGAGGAGCCGAATCAGTACTGGATCTTGATGGCCCTTGACATTGGTCGGGCATGACTGACTTGTCAGTCTTATCAGTGTCATCCGATCCGGATCCTGTACCATGGAATGAAGGATGCATATCTCCCGTGTGTAAGGACAACTTGCCACGAATTCTTTCAATCACTTTACCCGATGTCAGGATTGCCTCATTCAAGGAAGTGATCACGTCTACCCTCGTGCCCGGAAGCCTTTCCAGACCCATCGCGATGATCATTCTCGAGACAAGCCTGTAGTTGGGAAGCGTCTTATTTCCACTTGCAGCTATGATAAAGTTCATCCCATCTGAGAAGGATTGTTGTCCCCTTTCCACGCTTTGCAGCATCTCCGGCCCAGGAATATCACTACCCTGTAAACGTGGAAGATCCGTACGGAAACTGGATAAATCCCCCAGCTGTGGGCATTCGCGGAACCCTTTCATGACCTCTATTATGGCAACGGCTGTATATAATGTGTGTATTTCAGCTGCACTTATCAGCTGCTCGTTCGGAAGATAATGGGTGGTAATTTTATTAGTATCGAGTGTGGAAGACATTGGTCCTATGAGATCAGTGAGTTTGATACGAGAAAGCGATAGGGGGTGATGATGATCAAGTAGAGAAACGACTAGAAAGAATAGATGCAGTCTTCAAGTTCGGAACACTGCTAGCGGCTCTTGGACTTACAAAGGACGATTTGTGAGGCGAACGCGCCAGTCCTCCATAGCATCTCCTCCTTTCCATGCCGGACTTTCAAGATTCTGCTTCTATCACTGTTGAAGTTAGCACAGCCTACTTTTCCTGAAAGGAAAGAAATGGAGGTGCGCGCTGCGAGAACTTGACAGATCAAGATGCTTCAAATCTCCAGTGAAAAAGAATATGTTAAGAGCTGGGTTAAGAGTGGATTGACAAGGACAACTTTATGGGCCTACATGTGAACCTGTTCACTTTTCTACATCACCATTGACGGCCAAACGAAGTTGTCACACACCGATCTTGTCATACTTCTTCGCCTCCGCCAACGAACTTGTCTGCACTCAAGCTCCCCGTATATCCCTCTCCCTTCTGTCCCTATCCGGACTGATGATCCCTAGAGATCGAGTTGCTCCACCTACTGCCCCGGGCCATCCATCTTGACAACACTATCGTCCACGGTCAACATGGAATGCCATGATCAATGCCGGGAGCTAGCTCCGGAGGGAGGGTGTAGACGCCGGTTGTAAATTCGGTCGGAGCGGGACGATGTGATTCAATTGATGAAAGCGGGCATGCTAAAGGAGATTCAGATGCGAGTGGAGATTGTGCTTGAACGGCACTTGTGAGATAATTTGTGTAGCGATTATAGTATTCGGCCACGGCGGTGCTTGAATCATAGTGAGAAGGCTGATAGTAGACCTGGTGGAGGCTTCGCGGGTCGAGAGTGCTGTCACTGGTGACGGAAAGGTGAGGGGTGAGACAGGAGACGAGAGGTTCAGGGGTCGATTCATTGGAGTCGCCAGCAAGAGGGGCCCAGAGTGCTAGATTATGATCCGCTGCGTCTGTACTACCCGACCTAGACAGTAGTAGTGTTTCGTGAGGGTCGTGTGCCTGGTTTGGGGATGCGGAGCATTCATTGTCATACCTTATGTTCTGATGATGTAATATATCGTGCTCACCTTTGTAATACGCTTCTAGATGTGCTTTGAAAATCAACCTTTTCAAGAGTGCCGTAGATTGGGCTAAATATGGTGACATATCTGGCAATCTCATCCCATGAATGTGAGCGCTGTCGACTAGGATCGTAGCCAAACCGAGGTTGGTGGTACACTTTGAGCATTTGATCACGTCTTTCAATTTGAAGCGAGACACGACCTCGGCGGCGTCAAATTCGCGTAGACTGAATGAAGAGACTGTCTCGGAAATGTGAGCTTCGAAGAACGTAGAAGCTGCTTGGAGGAAAGCTTCAGACGTACGCGTTATCGAGGCGACAGATTGGTCATCAGTCATCTCCTGTCTCGGTGAAATAGCTGTCGTCGATAGGTCGGTGGGCCGGACTGTACGGAGGAAGTCATCTGCAAAGGGTAGTTGGCGGATGGTATCAAGGATAAACTTGCCAGCGAGGACAATAGATGATTCCGAGTCGGTGAGAAGTTCTTGCATTGCCGAATGATCGGTACGTTGGACTGTTGAAGAGTTATATATGATAAGTGAGATGACTGCAGTGAGAATTTCTCAGTACGACGTATTCGAATAGTGAAGTAGCGCTAAATACTACTCGGCCTTGAGACGGTTAGAGTAACGTAATTCACCTACCAACGGAACACCCCCCCCTTCCGAACGAGCCCTTACTCCTGTGCTATATCACCTCACATATATAATCTGTACCATGCATATCGGCTTCCTAAGCACTTGAGACAAAAGGATTGTCTTCCATGGCATCTTCGGTCTCCTCCGGAACCGCTTTCCCTTTACCCTTCCTCTTCTTAGCGGCCCGATCTGCCTCTATTCCCTTGATCGCCTCCAGCACCTCCGTCTGAGTGAATACATGTGTCTTCATGTCCTTCACCGTTACCCCTCGCTTCTGCTTCCTTGCCAACTTCTGTGCAGCCTCCAGTTCCTTAATCTCCTTCTCCAAGATCACAACTTTAGCCTTCGCTGCCTCTCCTTCCGCCAACGCCTGCACCAAGCTTGTCACATGTTTCTTGATTGGTGTTTGTAGGATAGCTTCGTGCTGGCGCATGAATTCCGAGTTATCTAGAGCAATGGAAGTGTGGGGAGTCCGGGAAAGGGTGCGAGAGTGGTGTGGAGTAGAAGGGATAGATGGAAGCATGTTGTAAATGTCAGGAAAAGCGTGAGAAGGACTGAACGGCCACAGGCCTGTTTCTCGAAATCCGGCTTTGATATTCTTTGAAGTCATCGCTGCAGATCGTGCCAGGACCAGTCCATCAGCCCATCGACCCTTATGGACAGCACCTCGATTCTGCCGACTATACATATCCGTCTGATCACACAGGGCTTGCTTGAACGGTCCAAATACAGCCTTATCGAGTGGTTGAGTTGCATGAGATGAATGTGAAGGAAGAACGACAAGATCGATGGAATTCTGGATACAGAGGGCGATGAATCGAGCTTGTACATGGCTACCATGGCCATCAAGGATGAGAAGTCGACGTTCAAGAGGAAGACCGGAGGAGGGATCCAGGGGAAGAGGGGGTGAGGTGATGGGTATGAACACTCGTTCCAACCATTCCAGCGCCATTGTGTTGTTTGACCAGCCAGTCTTGCTTGCGCTCCATCTCCAATCCTCAGTTCCAGCGATCTGTTCGGTCGGAAGCCATCCTGAGTTCAAGCCTGCTTCTCCTCTGAAGATCACTAGCGGCGGAAGGGCAATTCCGTCCGCTGAGATACACTCAATCAAGGTCACCCACTCCTGTCTTCCAGGCATTGCTTTTGTTGCCTTCCCTCTAACCTCTCCCTTCTCAATAACCACAAGAACACGTCTCGACTGTGTTGTGCCTATTCCAAACCCTGTCTCATCCATATTGAAGACATTAGACGACTTATACTTGTGCTCCTCCATCAAAGACCCAATTTCCGCAAACCATGGAATAATATTATTGGCTTGAACCCCTTCAATCCGAGATCGGTCTATCTGACGGGTCCAAACACTATTGACACTAGGATGACGCTTTCGGAACTTGGAGATCCAGTTATGACCGAGAGGGGGAATGGGAAAGTCGGTCTCGGTTGCTTGCAGGGTGAGGCGATTCCGGCGAAGTGCTTCTGCAACCTCAACAACAAGTTTTGGTGTGAGCGGATAGCCAATGAGCGCTTCTCGTTTGATGTAGTTGACAAGCTCGAGCTCCTCTGGGGGTGTGAGTGATTGAAGATGAGCAGCAGATGTATGGCGATCACCTCTGCCATGGAGAGCTCTAGCGTTGAGAGTGGTGTGTGGAACCTGGAATTGTGTGGCAATTTGTCGAATAGAGAGTTGTTGTTCTGGCGGAAGGAGTAGCTGGGACCGAAAGGCATCAATAGCTTGCTCAATGGGTGTCTTTGACGTCTGCATGGTTGCGTATGTAGAGGTAGAAAGGAGAAATCAATGCATCATGTATAGGTGAGATGAAAAAAATTTCGATGTTCCGAAGGGGGGGGTGTTCCGTTGGTAGGTGAATCACGTTACTTGTACTGACCAATCGACGGACAAAGGTAGAACGCAGCTTTATACTTGATGTATCGCATTTCGATCGCTCGGCCGAGACTTCGAATGAGTGAGAGTAGCCTGTGAGCCCAGATTGGCAGATACGAAGAATGGGTGAATGGAGGGGATAGAGACGTCGAGTGAAGAGGTCGGAGGCCGGAGGGAAGGAAACCATGGGCTGAGCAACTTAAAGTTTAAGTTCTACCGAGTTTTCCCTTGCTTCAATCTTTGGCTTGCCCATTCATTGTTCACGATCGCAACTTTGTCTTTTCCCCAGTATGACCTCGGATGGTAGATCCAAGGTTGATTATGTCATCTTTGACATGGATGGTCTCCTCAGTGCGTCTCCTCTCTTTCCAATACCTACCCGATTTCGCTGACGGGGTAGTGTGAGCGATGCTCTACTGTACCTCTCCTTTCTCTCGCTGACGACTGAATTGTGCAGAGATACCGAAGTAAGTTCAACTTCTTCGAATACTCGTACAAGCTTATTCTCTCCAGCGTATATACACAGAAGTGACCAGTACGTATCTGTGTCGACGGTCAGAAAGATCGAGCTGAGAAGTAGACATCCTTTTGGCCAAATATGGGTATGGACAAATAACATGGGGAATGAAAGCTGGTCAAATGGGTATGCGTGAGTTACCCAGCTTTCTATTCTGATCATGATGATCATACTGATGCGATAGCTGCCTTACCTGCTACCAAACATTTATTCTCTTTCTTCCCCGGTTTGGAGGAGAAAATCACCCCTCAGGAATTCATAGATGAGAGGAATGCCATTCAAGAGTTGAAGTTTCGGGGAGCCAAACCGATGCCTGGAGCTCTTTCACTCGTGCAAGGTCTGGTGAGTTCCATCCGTCACATTGCAATTCTTCCTGTCCGGTCCTTTTTCCTGGGAGGATAGGTCTTTCTTTTTTTTCAGGCGTACAGAGAAAGAATATTTCGACGGCAGAATTTGGTCGTCGAGCTAACATCAGCACGAAGCAGGTGTCCCAATAGCCATAGCGACCGGTTCTAACCTTCTCAACTTTCAATTCAAAACATCTCATCTTCCTGAACTCTTTTCCCTCTTTCACGCAGATAAGATTATCAGCGCCGATTCTGCACACGTCAAGAGGGGTAAACCTTTTCCTGACATATACCTCGCTGCAGCTCGTAGTTTAGGTATGTCCCTATTCAAGTCTCACACTCAAGACTGACTAAATACAGGCCGCGATGTTGGAGACGCAGAGGAATGTACACCTGAACAAGCAGCGGAAAGAGGTAGGGGATTGGTGTTTGAGGATGCTGTTCCTGTGAGTTGTCTTCTTGGCTTTGTTCGTCTCCGTGCAAGGTGTATTGTGTTCATGACTGATTTATAGGGGGTGAAAGCAGGTGTGGCAGCGGGTATGAACGGTCAGTCGGAGGATGTCACTGAGTGGGGTTTGACTGATTTGAAGTGGTCTGGGTCCCTGATTCCAATTTACGTGCTTTGGCGCCGGATGAGACATATGGTGCGGCTCAAATCTTAGGTTCTTTGGAAGAATTTAAGCCGTCTCAATGGGGTTTACCTTATAAGACCGTACGCTTCTTCTTTTTCTGAAGTGATGCGTACTGATGCCCAGTCTGAATGAGGAAAGAGATAGATGATAGATGCAACAAAATTCATGGCAAATACAATATCAACTCATCTGCCTACTTATCCATCTATCGCAGGATCCACTCCGCGAGCTTTGGCAGCTGCTTCTCCTGCTAAACGTATCTCCCAAGTCTGCCCATCAGCCTTGACCTCGACTCCAATGGATAGCGCCACACGTCACCTAATCTCGAGCGGGCGACGGAAGAAGAAAAGCGCTGACCATGAGACAGTGGAAAGAGGAGGAGGTCAAGCAAAAGTCGAAGTGAAGAGAGGAACGTGACTCCGGACGAGAAGACACTGACCATCTTATACGACTCCATAGCATCTTCATAAGTCGACAAAATAGCCGATTTCGGACCAGTACCCTCGATGGCATCGACCACAGCTGCGACCTCTGTATAATAACAATCATCATTCGCAAAAACAGTAGCTACCTCTGCATTTGTACCTGGTCGACGTACATGAAGAGTGGGGTTGGTTCCGTATATGTCGGTGAGACGCATGAGCCATCCATCGGCAAGGACGACGACTTCGCAATCGTAATCACCATCTACATCTGTCAGTCGTTGTCGGCTATTTCTTCTCTTTCGTCTGACCCCTCTCCTTCCTTTCTTGGACTTTCTTACATCTTCAACGCCGCTGATCTCTTGTTCGTGTTCATCAGTGAATCCCATCGTTCAATAAAGGGTAGGGTATACCATGAGGAGGAAGAGAGTTAGGGTAGGGAGTATATTGTGAAGAAGGGAAGATAGCAGGTGAACTCACCATGTAAAACACATCCATGAAGAAAACTACCCAACCCTCCATTCTTATATCTCCAAGTAGCATGTGTCATCCTCGGTATCCTCTGATCAGGTTCCACTATTTTCTTCTCATCAAACTTGATTTCACTTAAATACCCAGCAGGATCAGTAGGTTCGATAGTATTCACATGTAAAGTTTCCTCTTGAACTTTCGGAGCTAAATATCTAACCAAATCCACTAAATGAGTACCTTGTCCTACAATTGGACCTAATTCTAAACGTTTATCCCAATAATTTCTGGTGGCACCTTCCCCAGCGGCGGATTGATATGCCATGAGAAACCTAGAATTTGTAGCCATGATATTGAGTTTGTTTACAGCTATGAGACGTTTCATCTCTTTGACAGCTTGGAGATAACGTAACATGTATCCGACGGAAGTTATGGTGTTAGCTTTCTCTAGAGATTGAGCTACTGATTCGACTTGAGAGAAATCATCGGCTGAAATTGGTTTTTCGATCAATAGACCGATTTGTGGGAATTGATGGATGAGTTGAAGTTCTGTATCACGACCAGTACGAGTGGAACCTCTTGCGAAAGCTTGAATACCTACAACTGCGAGTCTGACATTAGGTCTGACCCTCCTCTTTTTTACTTAGCTCATCCTTGCTTGATCTTATGGCAAATTAGGTATAGCTCAGATAGGAGTTTTATTCGAGTCGTTGAGCCGACTGTTGTTCTACCACATGAAGGGTGAGGGAGAATGTGACGTTATCAAGGTGGAAAGAGATAACGAGAGGAGACGTTTCTGAAGAGATAGAGGAAGACATCGGTGACATTGGTCATGGAAAAATACGAAAACTTACTGAGGTGAAGAATCCCCTCGTAAAGTCGCCCCAGCTTCTTGAATACTAGAAAACACTTTGGTATCCTTATATCCCCCACGAGCAGTTTCATCAGCTCTTTTGATAGATAAAACTCTATCTGCTCGCAAAGGATCACGTTCGACTATACCGACTACATGAGTCTCCGACCGAGGTGTCTTTCAAGTCGTTTGGACTAGAAGTGAGCTTTGCGTTTTTACACTTTCACTTCATCTGTGATTGATAGTATCGTCCTCTCTTCATGTGCTATCTTCCTCTCTTTATCCAAGATCTTCCTTCGATGTGAGAGTGAGTAGACCGCTCCATAGTTTCCACTTTAAATTGATAGTCCTTCTGTTCTTGTAGAGGGAACCGAAGCATGTTCTGATGCGGAAGGGGGAACAGTGGAAGAGCAGGAGAGACCGGTGAGAGATGAGAGTAATGAAGGAAAGAGAAATGACACGAACATGATCCCATGGTCCTTCCGGTGTCCCAAAATTGACAGGACCAGCACCTATCATCAACACATTGAAAGGTCTTCCTGCACTTGACGTCAATCGGGAAGCTGCGAATCTTCGAATAGGTGAGAAAAACATGATACCCCTTTCCGAACTCTTTTCGATGTCCGCGAGCCTTTGTGAAATGGTGGTCAGTGAGAGATCGTAGATGAGGATATAATGATCGTATCTAGATCTGAAGCAGTAGATGCATGGATGCATGTAGGACACAAGTTGGGCCTATAGCAGTGAATGTTGGAGATTTGTCGGAGGAGCATAGTTCATGGTTGACCGAGGTTAGCGATCAAACCGATCACATTCCGGTTTGCGGACCGTCTTCCGGACTAGATGTAGACGTGACATCTTTGACCTCGATGATGTTGATACTTGATGTTTGACAAGCAATGGATGGTGAAATGATCAGTATGAAGTGTTCAAAACATCACGTTACTGAAAGATCATTCATGTTTCCCATCATGTATGCCCAAAGGCCCCAATGTCCATCGTCCATTGTCCATTGTCCAATCATCACTTCCCATTTATACACAGTTCGAAGATTATGTCCATCTAATTCCCCGCCATACCCTCATAATCTCCTCGCCGTACCTTCCCGCCCTACGTCCTCTCATGTTTCCAACACCCACTGTAGAGACATTGGTTGCCAATCCTTGTCGGAGTAAGGTGTACCGAAATCAGTATACGCCATGGCGGCTCCGAGGAGATGTGAACCCTGAGTGCTATCGAACATCCAGAAAGTGGGATTGGAATCGGTATGATCGGCGTTGTGATAATTGATACTGGCTGGTCCTGGGAAAGCACTGGGTGTGTTCCATATAGGCACTTGAACACCACTTCCCCATGAGTCATCAACGGTGGAGTCCGCTGGATAGCATCCGTCAAACACTACAGCCCTATGCATTTAGCGCGAGGTCACAGAACAGAATTGTCACGGGTGAATGAATGCACTTACGTTGAAGGTGAAGTATCCATAGAGCCAGAAGCTACCGAATAAGAAAACAAACACATGTTCAAGGTACCACCGGTGAAAGGAAACCCGACCATCTGATCGGTGGAGTCTGAGAGGATGGTGAATGGTGTGGCCAGAGTAGGGTCAGAGGACTGTCAAGATAAGCATGTCATCAATTTTCAATGAAGCTTGATTATCGAGGGAGAGGAAAGAGCTAAGTAGAATATGGATATAACGCACTAGGACGAATTGGTAGAGATTACTATCCCAATGAGCCCAACTGATATCGGTAACCGGAGATGAAGCCCTCTCTTCCAGTTCGTCCATGGCACGCTTGCTGACTGGTGGAGTGAGAGGTGTAGCTTGGATATAAGCGATGGTGGATTCGGCCGACCTTCTGGCTAAGTGGTCTTCAAGGTCAGCTTGAATCATCGATACCAGAAGCTACAGCATCATACACTAGAAAGCGAAGACAAGCAAAGTGATTGCGTCTCGTCACCGCTCACCAAAGAGAATGGCTACATGACTGAATCATGCATGGAGAGACTGGAGAGAAGGGAATGAACAAGGAAGAGAAAGACTCACTGCGCGTAGCTGTCGCATTGTATCTCCTGAACGGCGCCTTTGGGGGCAAACCCCTCCTGAATCTCTGAGAGTTGGTCAACGACTCCTTGACAAACTTAACCTCATGTCCGCCAGGTGCTACTGGAGCTGCAGCGGACAAAGTCGCAGCAATTGCAAGGATAAACAAGGACAAGCCGCGCATGATGGAATGAAGGACAAAAAGTGGGTGGTTGTTGTTGATTGAGTAGGCGAGTTGAGGTTTTGTATGGTTCCTCTATGGACATTGTTTATCCCGGATTTTGGCAGCGCCTGGTGGATGTTGGTTAAATTCGGTGCAGAACCGGTCTGCAGGTAGGAATGTAGGAGTTGTTGTTGAATACATACTGGAATGGAAGCGAACAAGACTCGACCCCACTTGCCAGTTCGATCGGTACCGTGTGGTGGGACATATCGATTCGTGCCTTCATACCCGGGGTACGGTGGTGTGCCTGAAGAGACTGGCGTCCAGTCGACCGATATCGTGGGTTGGTAGTGGTTTACAACTAGACTTGGTCACCGCGAGGGGCGAAAGTGGTCACTGGTGGGGTGCCGTGTGTACAGAAATTTCTACGGTCACGGTTAAAGACCTCTCTGTGTGGTTATGGCACTCCCAGCATACACGACTTACTCGTGAAGTAGTCACCCCGCCGAGAGAGGGTCATAAGACGAGTATACCCGGGTCCATTTATCCCATCCAAAACTTCTTGTTCCAAGCACTCCCATCACCTCCATATGGACTGGTCATTGTAGCCCAATCTTGGATGCCCGTCCGTCCTGCGCGCGCGCTTTTCGCGCCCACATCAAGCGGTCGAGCATTGTCAATCAATACCTGAACACTTTCTTCGAGCTCCATCCTCTCATCTTGCTCAGGTAACTGACTAGCAGGTTTCCTTGGTGATCGTCCAGGTGTCGGTGGGGTTAATGGGCGCTTGTTTCCTGCAATCTGAGATGCGTTTGAAGCTAAAGACGCGGGTGGAGTAGGAAGAGCATTGTTGGAAATCCGGCTGATGGTCTGATGATGAAGTTCGGCAAAGTTTTCGATGGTACTGACTATCTCGCGCCAGTCTGTCATCTTACCCGGGCCTACTGGTCAGGACTAGGGCTGGTCTTAGAAAATGGAGTATACGCACCTTCGTCACCACAAGCTAATGTCCCCGTTCCCTGAGGTCCCAAGACTAGATAGTCAAGTTCTTGGAGTACACGTAAATGTTTTGCAGTGAGTTTATGTTGATACATGTAAGTATTCATAGCAGGACAGATGACGACTGGAGTGGAGGGGGACAATGCTCGGAGAAGGGATAACTGCATTGTCAGATAACAAAGCTACTCCATAGAGACTGACATACCGCCAGATTATCCGCAAAACCATTGGCGATCTTCGCGAGCATGTCCGCGGAACATGGAGCGACAACGACTAAATCTGCCCATCGCCGGAGCTGCGTCTCAGCTAGCGAAAAGGATCTCAAAGCTTACTCACCTCAATATGTAAAATGGGGTCGCCAACTTTTCTCCAATCCTGACTTCGTCAGCCATTGCTTTCATGTCCACCAGACGTTCCAGTCGTCCGCTTCGCGGCCGCCCAAAGTATACGAAGGACTGTGACTCACACTCCACTCATCCGTATCTGTCCACACAGTCACACGTCGAGGGTCATTCTCGTACGTTCCAGAGGAGCCCCACCTGCCGCCATCTGTTCCGGCGGAATGACTGGAGGGGTGTGCTCCGTATAGTGCGGTATACACAGCCTTGTCGATTTGATCTTGATTGAAGAAATGCAAAGATGCATTCGTGGCCACTACCTGCAGGTCGATGTGAGGTTTCTGAGATAAGAATGATACATATGGAAAAGGTGAAAGCTCACTTTGGCCAAAGCGGCAACGATGTCAGGAGCTTTGATGCTCGCCACCGACCCAGTCGTGATGAGCAGAACACGAAAGATACCATCGGGTATGCTGGGACGATGATCCGCAGATACAAAAGGTCTTCCAGAAGGTCGCGATGGTCCAGCTTGTGCATCCGAAGACATGTTGTGATGTTACCAGAGATATGATACTGTATGTAGGATGCAGCCGGCCGGCGGCCCAGTCGAAAGGTAGCGGAGGGGAGGAAGCGGTGATAGCCGCCGGGAAATAGGCCAGCACCTTCCAGGACGCGCGCCTGTTTTCGAGCAATTTCTAGCATGTGCCTTGATCGTCGCCGAATGTCGCCGAACTTGTCGCCGTCCCCTACTTACTGGCGACCCGGAAACGATACATATACCATTCCTCTTCTCAACTTTCATCCATGTTACATCTATTCCAATATCTAAGACTATAACGAAATGGGAGACAACTTCACTGAAAAATCATCTCAACTCCTCCAAACTGCCTTCGAAAAGGCTGACGAGCTCAGTAACTCTCAATGTAAGTATCTCTCCTGCTCTTGTAATGATTGACTTACAACGCACTTGACTCGAACGAAGCTGACTTGTAGTACATCCACTTCATCTCATCGCAGCATTCTGGGACGATGAAGAGCCGAACAATCCAAACTTACTGAAAGGTGCTCTTGAGCATATCGGAGCCAATGCGACCGCTTTCAATCGTGCCCTTCTTTCCCGTCTCAACAAGCTTCCCGTCGTCACTCCCAAACCAGACCCACCTTTGCCACTCACGAAATCATTCAATGCTGTCGTGGTGGAGGCTCAAAAACTTCAAAAAGAGCAAAATGATCGGTTTGTGGCTCAGGATCTCCTTCTAGTAGCGTGCGCGCGGGTGGATCAATCGGACATGAAAGAATTATTGAAAGCTGCTGGGACGGATGTGAACGCGTTCGAAGCTGAGCTTAAGAGGAAGAGGGGAGGAAGGAAGGTGGATAGTAAAGGAGCTGAAGCACAATTTGACGCTTTAAACAAATGTAAGTGAACTCCTCCTATCATTACTTCCCACATCTCTTCTCATGTCTGCACTTTGATTGAGGATCTCCCGCTGACGTGACAGATTGTACCGATCTTACCGCTCTCGCCGAACAAGGAAAACTCGACCCTGTCATAGGAAGAGACAACGAGATCCGAAGAGTCATCCGTATTCTCTCCAGACGAACCAAAGGTAATCCAGTCCTCATTGGTGAACCCGGTGTGGGTAAAACAGCAATTGTCGAAGGTCTCGCCCAAAGAATCGTCGATCGTGATGTTCCCGCTTCTCTCATCTCTCGACTTCTCGCCTTGGACATGGGTGCACTCATGGCTGGTGCAAAGTACAAAGGAGAATACGAAGAACGTGTCAAAGCCGTCTTGAACGAAATTGAGAAATCAGGTGACGAAGGTACACAAATCTTACTTTTCATCGATGAAATGCACCTTCTCACCGCTGGAAAAGATTCGAGTGGAGGTATGGATGCTGCCAATTTACTTAAACCGATGTTGGCTAGAGGTAAACTCAAGGTTATCGGCGCTACGACACTGAACGAATATCGCGAATATATCGAGAAAGATTCCGCTTTGGAAAGACGTTTCGCTCAAGTTATCGTGGACGAACCTTCTGTAGTGGATACCGTAGCTATCATGCGTGGTATTCGTGAGAAATACGAATCTTTCCATGGTCTAAGAGTTCAAGATGCCGCTTTGGTATTGGCTGCTCAACTCGCGAAGCAATATCTTACATCACGAAGACTTCCCGATTCCGCCATTGATCTTCTCGACGAAGCAGCCAGTGCCGTCAAAGTCGCACGCGAAACGAGACCGGAGGCGATCGATGAATTGGAACGACGTAAAGTTAGTTTGGAAATTGAAATCCATGCGTTGGAGAGGGAGAAAGATGACGCATCAAAAGAACGTCTTGAAATCGCTAAAAAAGCTATTGCGGAAGTGGAAGATCAATTAGGACCTTTAAAGCGGGAATACGAAAACGAAAAACATATCGGTGATCAAATTGCGGAAATGAGACGAAAGATCGATGAATTAAGAGCTAAAGCGGATGAAGCTCAAAGACGATATGACCTCGCTACAGCGGCAGATATTCGATATCATTCAATTCCTCAACGTGAAGCTAAATTACGTGAATTAGAACAACGTGAAGAAGAAAGAGGAACGGGTCAACAAGTCACACCTGAAATGATTGCCGAAGTTGTCGCTCGTTGGACTGGAGTTCCGGTTTCTCGATTAGTAGAGACGGAAAAAGCTAAATTACTACGACTTGAGAAGATCATTTCGAAAAAAGTTATCGGTCAACCTGAAGCAGTCAAAGCTGTAGCCAATGCTATTCGACTTAATCGTTCAGGGTTAGGAAACCAAAATCGACCAATAGCTTCTTTCCTTTTAGTTGGACCATCAGGAACTGGTAAAACTTTACTGGCGAAAACTCTAGCAAGTGTCATGTTTAATAGTGAAGACGCTATGGTCAGAATTGACGCTTCTGAATATTCAGAAAAACATTCGGTTTCACGTTTGATCGGTGCCGCACCAGGTTATATAGGTCATGAATCCGGTGGACAACTCACAGAAGCTGTCAGAAGGAAACCTTACAGTTTGATTTTGATCGATGAGATAGAAAAGGCTGCAAGGGAATTTCATCAATTGTTCCTTCAGGTTTTAGATGATGGACGTTTGACGGATAATAAAGGTCGAGTGGTGGATTTTAGAAATACGATTATAATGATGACTTCGAATGTTGGATCGGTGTATTTGAACGAAAATCCTACAGAAGGTCCTGTCCTTCCAGCTGTTCGACAACAAGTCATGGGAGCCATTTCAGCTACTTTCCCTCCTGAGTTCATCAATCGTATAGACGTGAGTATCAATTTACTTTCGATTTCTCTCTCTACTTCTTCCCTTCCCTTCACATACCATTCCCTCTGTCTCAAACACCCACCCTTTTCTCATTACTTATTCTTCTAGCACGATGAGTCCAAGATTGAAAAGATATAGGACATAAGCTGACTTGACAGGACATAATCCTCTATCGCTCTCTTAGTAGACAAGACATTCACAAAATCGTCGACGTCAGACTTAAAGAAGTACAACAACGACTCGAAGCCAACGGAAGAAAGATCAGACTTGCAGTCGACGATCAAGCCAAAGATTGGCTCGCATCAGCAGGTTATTCACCTTCGTATGGTGCCAGACCGATGGCTCGTCTCATCCAAACTGAGATACTCAATCCACTTTCGAAACTACTTCTCCAGACTAGAGTCAGGGATGGTGAGAAAGCTCATGTGACGGCAGATTTGAGAAGAAACAGATTGGTGGTGATTCCGAACCATGAAGCTGATGTCACTCAACCTGATGATAGTGAGGATGAAGATGACGGGATGGATATAGAAGTGGAAGAAGTCGATTGAGGTTATCGAAGTATAGCAGGAGGATCGATCAACTTAATCATCATTGGTGTTTGTAGATGTTATGAATGTGTTTAGACATTGATATATGATAGTGGCTTACTTTGATCTTTCCAACACTACAATACGTACATACTCTACTCAAAGGCAGAATCATTTTGTAGTCTCATCTCATTGCATATTGCGACTGACTTACTTGGACTAACGACGACAATTGGAGGCCAACAGCTAACACTTGATCTGGTACATAACATATTTTGCTCAATACTTGACTGTGATTGTTCCTACTCTAGCTCCCCGGCGCTCAAACATCCGGTCCAGCGACTGTAACGTCAACATCAAATAGTCAAGAGATTGATAAAACTTACTCATGACCTTAATAGCTACCTCACCATCGGGACCTTTACCATTTTTAGAAGTAGCGAAAGCCTCTAGCGTTTGAGAGAAAGGATATCTATAATGAGCTCCGACCCTGGCTCAACCTATGCAAGTGTAGTTGAAATGAGAACGTCACTCACCGATGAGTGAGGAGAGGCTTGACATCGACCAATCCGCGAGAGACCAGGTCAATAGCCATTTCGTATACTCCTGCGCCGTACTGACATCAGTTTGACTCCTGCCCCATGATTAATCCTTTCAACGTAGCCATTTGGCTTGGATGCGGAAGGATCAACGATGGTCGAGTGGGAACCATGGGTGAGTCTGAGATCGGAGTCGATCATCTGTGCCAAAGGGGAAAGGTGGTTGTGAGAGGTGATAGATGAAACGAATGACAAGAAATGAGTCGTAAAGAAAGACTAACGCGGAAAGTCCCAGTAACGTTGAGCTCTCGAACATTGATCAGATTCCAAGGGACAGACATATCGGATCTGGAGAATCCAACCTGGTCTATCAGCCTCGTCGATGGTAGGGAGGTATATACGATCACGACTACAGTTTGGTCCGTGCTAGTGTAGGACACGCTTAAGACCACACGGCTGAGCACACAGTAATGAAGACGAATGGCGCCTGAGGAAAAGAAGTGACAGGTAAGGAAGAGAGAAAAAGAACGTACCTGTACAAACGACCCTCTGTGCTTCAACAACCTCAGACCAGTCTGTATACAGACCTCCGCTCCGGAACACTCAAATACATAGTCTATACCTGTAGATCCTCTAGCGGAGAGACCAAATTTCTCTCTGATAATTTCGGCCTGGACATCAATCATTCGCGCTTGTTTCACCCAGTCTTTCATAAACACCCTCGCACACATTGGAGGTCTGGGTGTCCGTTATAGTATGCACACAGAGGTTGTGGCAGCATGAAAGGGTTATGTGTGACGGATTGGGTATGTGGAGAGCGTGAGACTGACGTGTCGTATTGAATACTCCGCTCTCGTCTCTCCTGGCTCCATAGGTGCCGCAGCATGGATATCCGTAGCTGCGTATTTCTTCGCGAAATCAAGTCGATCCTGAGCCGTATTCACAGCGATGATTCTCTTCGCTCCTAGTGCCTTGCATACGGCCATCATACCACCACGTCAGGATATTCTCAGAAGTAAAATTCGGGGGAACGACTGACACTAAACCTATGGGACCGGCACCGAAAACGATGACATTCTTTCCCGGACGCATCTTGGCTATCTCGTTGACAGCGTGAACTGCTACGCTCAACGGTTCCATCTGGCATTAGTCTCCGGTCCTTTCTCCTTTTCTCAACGTTCAACATATGTAGGAGCAAAGACAGCATGTCCCACCAGAGCACCTTCTTCTAATGTCATATTCTAGCTCGAGTCAGTGACCAATCATCTTAGAGCAAGAGAGAGATGAGCGCACGTCTGGGAGTTTGTGACATAAGTCTGCCGGGAGACGATAGAATCCTTGCAAAGTACCGTCGTTGAATCCATCCGATGCAAATCGCATGAATTCACATTGATTGTCTGTTACTCAGCTCTCTCCTATACCCTGTTCAGTTGACTCAAGGACTTTATGAAGTGATGTGACAGGGTTGATAAAAGTGAAGTGTAAGGAAAATCAACGCACAATGACCCCCTTTGCAATCTACACATCGCAAACATGCCTCGCCCGGCTTCATGAGTCAGTCATTGCCTACGACTGTCATTTGCACTCACTTCGAGAGCTACCCTATCACCAGGTTTGACATTCTTCACGTTCTTGCCCACTAGACGTCAGTCAACAAGATATAGGGGGTGATAATAATGACACACCCGCACAAACTATACCGGCACACTCGTGACCCAAGATGAGAGGAATATTTACGGGACCCCGAGAACACTTAATATCAGCTCGTCGGCTCAAGTTCTGATTACGAGTGAAGTACGCACCTTAGCAGTGAGGTAGATGTGCATGTCTGAGCCACTGTCACATGAGCGAAGAGTATGCAGGGTTCAGGGGAACTGACCATATACCATTCCGTTTGGGACACACGATAGCTCTGTTATTAGCTCGTCGCCCAATTATCTTTCCTCTTCTGAGAAGCCGGATGTCAGATCTTCAGATGACAAAGACTCACTCCCAGGGTTCACACTCTTGAGGAATGTCGACTGGGTAAGGCTTCATGATCGCTGCTTGCTCCAGCAGCCATGCCGTGTTTGACTTGGGAAACAGCAGGTCATCGGGTCTAACTTGGAATAGGTTTTGGACCATCTTGCTGGACGTGTAGCCGCTTCTTCGACTTCCTAACTGAAGTAGAGGATCAGAAAGTTGTCTGGACAGCTGGAATAGGCAAAGCTGAACAGTTAAGATTAGTCGGTCAGAGTACGGCTCGTCCGGGTAGAACTCACTGGGGGCCCCGCACCTTCGGGCCGGTGTGCCGACACCTCTCTCCAAGAACTTCAACGCGTATAGAAACATACTATGGCACTCGATACTTGTAGCTTACATGTTACAACAACGATCATTAAGAGTACGAGTAGACATTTTCACCGGTCGGAGAGTCAAACGGTCCCAGGTATCTCGAAACCGCCTTTTGCGAGTTCCGCCACAAAGGGGTCATCGACCTTATAAAGAGCTTCGACGACTTCAGAACGGAGTTGAGCGCGGGTCTCGGAAGTTGGGCTTGAGGAGGTGGAACGGAGATATATGTCGATACCTGCTGGAGTGAATAAAGTCTTGGAGAAGACTGAAGATGTCAGTTCTATCTTTTGTGTGATACATGAATGGAACACGGGCGGGCGAGGAAGCCGCAGGGAGAAGATGAATTCTTACATGTCACCGCCCATTCCAAAGAGCTCTCCTCATCTTTCCCATAACCCAGTACTTCCCAATGAGAACTGACAAAGAACAAGAGACCTTTGCCCCTCCAGTCAAAGGTGGCGCCGTTCGTACTACCCCTCAGCTCAAGGTCGCATACATGGCATACAACTTACTGAGGTGTCAAAGTTTCCCGCCCTTTCACTGAGACGTCAGTCCCACCGATTGCCACACCACATAAAGACACATACCCGTACTGGGCTTACTAACATCCGCAGCTGAACGCTTTCGGTATTCCACACAACTGTCAAAAGCTTCATTCTTCTGCGTATCAGGCAGAGGGGTGTAAGTGATCACCACATCTCTGAGTTAGTCATTGTACATGTAAGGCCAAGACGAGTCACCTTTCTTGTCCTGCAAACAGATCAGCGGGCAATGAGATGCAAGCGAGGAGAACTCACTTTCCACATAGGTAACGTTGACCATACTACCCCCCAACGACCCATAAACCATTCTCTGTCGAAACCTCCTGACGCGTCCGCTAAAGAAGAGTCTTCCGACCCGGGAGAATGGACAAGTACTCGCCTTCGTGGATCATTGACTGTGAGTTCTTCTTGTGGGAGAGCGTCTGTCATGGTTAGTCGACAACAGAGGAGGGGGATGAGGATGCATAGAGCTGCATTGGATACAACGGATTGTCATACGTACATACATGTATGGGTCGATGAGGATGTCATGGCGTCATATGTTTCAGGCACAATGCCACATCTCTATCTCCGTATCGCCGGGAGTCTTGCCGCCATCTTTCGACGTCATTCACACATCTCTTCGGCTCTGAATAGACGACAGATCGCAAGTGACATCTGACCATCCCGAAAAATGGGTAGGTCGATAGATTATTACGACTGAGATAGTATACTAATCCTTCAGGTATATTTACAAATGATCCAACCGACGACGTGATCGTATCCGCTTCTTTCCTCGAGACCAACCCTTTCGGCCGTGAGTAACAGGCCTCTCACTGGGGGTTATGGCTGAATCGTAGTCGTCGTTAATGGCGAGAATACCGGACTACTTCTACATCTCCAAAATGCTGGCAGGAAGAATTATACTTTATTGTCTGCCGGGGCGAGTTATCATGATCCCCTGAATTACTGGACATTGGTGAGTTCACGTTTCCACTCTTGGCCTCTCCTAGCAAGAGGGGGGGGGGGGGGGGTGTTCAGGACGGATATGTTGGGCTAAAGAGGGAAAGCTGATGTGGTAGACGAGAAACGCTTCGACTTTACGATACAACATCCCTCTTCTTTCTGGAACTAACTTCTCCGCGCCCTTCTCCTTGTATTCCGAGTGAGTTCCTCTTCAACTGTCCCACATCTTTCGCTCAACCATGTTCGGTCCCAGCTTTGTATACCAATCACACCTCGCCATTCTGATAGAGTAGCATCGAAGTCCATTCAAATTGAGTATTTGTACTGCAGATCTGCTCATGAAAGATTGACTGACGTTCAGACAAAAGCCACAAGAGGTCGGGTTGACAGTATGGATCAATGTTGCCGAACAAACCCCCCAACCGTCTCTTTACACCTTAACAGCTCTCAATCAAACCGTATCCGTCGTTGAAACCCAAGCGAAGTGGTACGATCCCCAAACCCTTTTCCTCTACTTAGTTCTTATCTCCTTCCTCGGCGCCGGAGCCTGGTTGGCGTACAATACCTTCTTCCCCACCCTCGCCAAACGGGGAAACAAAAAGACAAAAGCTGTCAAAGCGGTGGTTCCCGCTTCGCCTGGAAAGGCGTATCCTGATGTCAAACCTTACGAAGAAGAGTGGATCCCCGTGCAACAATTGAAGAGTCGAGCTAGCAAGTTGAAGAAAAGTGGTCAGGATGGGGAAGCAACGAGCGGAGGTGAAGCGACTAGTGGGGCCGAGTTAAGTGGGGAGAAGGCGAGAAAGAGGAAGGGTAAAAAATAGGCATGGGAATCGCCATGCAACGTGTTATCTGCATTCCGAATATCCTGAGTCGTGTTCACATCTGAGGTCGTGTTGAGGCTAGACTCTGCGGATATGCAGAATGGAAATCGGCAGTCTATAATTGACATTTGGCAGATCATCGGCGGCGTTGGCAGTGCTCGAAGTCTAGACTGGGCTATGATAGATCCTCCCTTTACGCCGTACGCCGACAGCCGTCGTAACTAACATGAGTCACAATCGATACTCCACATACCCACGATCCTGCAGGATTCGCCATCTTTCCACCTCCCGAGCGAATCGGAAGCCGATGCAACACGAGTAGTGTAATGACTCGACACAGAACGATCGTCATCGTAATAATCACGACATGTATATCATTCGGTATAGTATGCGACGCATGCGGTACACATTTGACCCTCATATCTCATCCACTTAATCAGATTCGCACATAGCCACCAATTGCCCTGATAACTCTCTCACAACCGACACGATGCAGGCGTTAAATGAATCCTTCCTCCCCCCACTCAATCTCTGTCTCTTGGCAGGACCCGATTGTTGAGTCGAGAACGCCCTTAATGAGCCGCCCCGCGCCTTGGACAGTGCATGAGAAGGTAAATGAGGTTGAGCAGCTGATCGATGAAACAGAGACGCGTTGGGGAAAACGCGTATCCCTCCCTCCATATGTAGATAGCCATAGAGTTCGTCGAGGCTGAACTGCTGGTCTTCGGTCCTGATCGACGTCGGTGGTACAGGATAGGATCCAGGAGGATTTGAAAGTTTCCTTGCATCTTTCAAGAGCCACTACGAGATAGCCTGCGGCTACGGCTCACGTGATCAGAGGGGAAGGGTGGCCCCTCATACCTGGCCCTGCGGAGAATGCGGTCACCGGGTAATAAGCCTGACTCGGATGTTGAATCCGAACTCGTTGATCCCATGTTTTGGGACAGTAGGTCACTGCGATCACTGCATCACTGGAACTACGTATCCGCAACGGAGTGAGATTCCGAATTCTACTTCCATGCATCTATGGGCTGGAAGATTTCAACGCCGCGCGGCAAAGACACGAGAACGGGATCGACAGTTTGGAGTGAGAGAACATGACGCAATCATCCCCTCTCTGACGCACAGACTGAGACGGCGAACGGAGAGCCCGGAAGATTAGGGGGAAGAGGTGAACATGCATGTGACCATGTGGGATGTGGGGCACTCACAGAAATTCGGAAGAACCTGAGCCAAAATATAAGAACGCACTCTCTGCGCTTGCATTGACGAAAGAGAATGACGAATGACCGAAGATTTCCGAAAGCGTACGTTCCCGGATAAAACGGACTTCCCAAACGTGTTTCACGGATCCCACGGATTTGACGGACGGGGGAGACGGTGGAAATTCGGAGCATTGACCGGCCCGACGTTCGACCGGTGTAGACGTGGTCTTGGCGAAAACCTTTAATCCCGTCTCAGCAAGTATTAACACACCACTAATTTGCCGAGTTCCCCGGTTTCCAGATTGCGACTCCGCATCGTGGCTCCGCGGGTCGCCATCTGACTTAGAACTACGGTTCCTGGTTTGAGACGACGGAAACTGGTTTGAAAGGCCGGTGACTGACCCAGAGGACCGGATACCGTCCTTAGAAGCCGGCTTGGTGCGTTTAATGGTCGGAATGTAGAGCTTAGAAGCCGGATAAGACACTTAACTTGAAACGTCTCTCCTCATCGATTTGGACCTCCAGGTCACGATCGAACATGTCTCGCATGTCGGTATGCATCCAATCTACTCCAATCGAAAGTTACAAGTCAATAGAAGACCCGGTGACGGTGTTATACACCTGCAAACTATCATCATATTGGAGTGAGAACAATAGACCCTCGTACCATACATGACACACCATCAGTGTGGCGACCTTCTTTTATTTCCCCATCAATATCTTCTTTACAACTTACTTGTCACTCCATCATCATCTCAACACATATCCTAAGCTCCTCTCAAGAACCCGTAACCTCTAAGGCTACCATTCATTGTCAAATATGTCTCGCCGAACTCCTGCGACACATCCCCCTCCCCCCAAGGACCCCAGTACCCCGTCTCGTCGTCGAGCAGTCCCTCGTCCTAGAACTCCTGCAGATCCTCCTACCCCTGCACGTTCTTCTCGCAGAGCCGCCAGCAAAACTCCACTCCCAAGCAAGTCTTCTTCCCCTCTACCTGCTTTTTCCGATCGTATCGCAAAAGCCGCAGAAGAGTGGAAAACTTCCTTCCAGGCCTCGGACCCGGTTTTCTCTTCTAAAGAAACTACCAGGCAAGTTGAGGAAAAGATTAGTTCAGGTATCCAACCCTGGGATCATTGTCCTTCTGCATTCTTCCCCACAGTGGCGGCCAGGTTTGGACTGAGTCGTTGGATACCTGATCCAATTCCAGATAAAGGTAGTCGTGGGCCCGCCTGTATCGTGGAAGGAGAAAGTGGTTTCATGTGTCATACGGGGTCTTTGCCAGCCTTTCTTTACACGTAAGTCCAATCATTGTCTTCTATGATGAGATAGAGTGCTTGCTAACAAAACAGTTATCAAAATCACGCCTGTCCAAACGCCCAGCGTCGAAAATTCCCCACCCTCATCTTCAGATACAAATTCGATAAAACTGGCTCCCTAATCCCTTTTGCCTGTTGGGCATGTCACACCAATGTGGACAGCTTTTGCTCTGTTGGATCTCTGCGGTTGCAAGAGCTCAACTCGCCGTCACAAGTTGCTGGACCGATAGATCACGATCACACAAACATCAAAGATTCCGTTGCCGTCAGCAAACGTAAAGCCGACACTGCCCAATTGGAACTCCCGATCGGTAAACGGACACATCTATCTCAGGAGCCTTCCGAAGCACCTTCAAAAACTATCGAGGGAGACGCTCTCATCTTCTCTGATCGCCAACTACCTCCGCCATTGCCAAACAGCGAGGAACCCCATCAAACTTCAGATCCTGTGGATCAGCTTCAACCACTTCATCCTCCACCACTTGTCACTGTCTCCCAGCCGCACGAACCATCTCTAGCAAGTCCGGTTTCTGTTGTTGAATCCGACGCCTCACTTCATCCCAAGAAGCATGAACAGCCCTCTCAGCCTCTTCGAACTCGGTCAAAGTGGCGTGAATATCATGGTAAACGTCAGTCAAGATCATCCAGCCAGATACCTGAATCCCTGGCTCCACCTCCCTCATCGTCATCTATTGTGACTGTCAATGTGCCTCCGCAGATGCCTCCTCTTACCATACCGGCTCCCGTGGCCTTGCCGACTCCTCAGTTAGAGCATCATGTGGAATCTATCATACCGTCTTCTCTCCCTCCTTTCCCAGCCAACAACGAATCTCTCACTCCTGCCAAAGACCGATCCACTCTGTTACCCAAATTTGACTCCTTCACACCATCCCATGAACTATTTAAATTGCGTGCAACGCTAGAAAGTCATTTGTCTGCTCCTGTGGATCATGCGACCCAGCATCTCATCTCTCTCAAACAAACGCGTCAACAGACGACCGCTATCCTAGATGAGCTTTTCACCAAGTGTCGACAAGCGTGGTCAAACGCTGAAAGAGATCGCGCTGCAATAGCAGACGTACGAAATGAAAGAGACAAGCATGCTTCACATCTACGTACACTAGACGCTCGTCTCATCAATTCTTCCCAGAAGCTGCAGGCGAAGGAGAAAGAGTTGGAAGAGGTCAAGAAGCAAGTGCAATTTCTGGAAAAGCACGCGCAGACAGCTCAGGAAGAAGCTATAGCTCTGGATGAGAGGATGGCGCAGGCGCTTGCCGAGAGGGATAAGGCATTGGAGGAGAAGGAAGCAGCGGTTCGTGCAAACTCTGAGTCAAAGGTCGAATGTCAAGCTTGGCAGAAGCAGTGCGAAGAGGCAAAGATAGAACGAGCCAGGGCGGATGAGGCACTGGATGATGCGGCCTTGGAGGTGACAGAGCTGCAAGACCAGGTCCAGTCTTTGCAGGGTACCATTCACGAGCTTCTGTCAAAAGTACACACGTTGGAAGAACATTTTCATACCCACGTTGATATTTCACCCTTGACTGCCAACCTTTCACAATCGGGACCTCTGTACACCAACCCTGCTTCCTTGACCCTCGATCGTTCTTCCCAATCTTCTTCACATGAGACTCAAACAGCCGAAGTATCAAACCCAGCAGCGAAGTTATGACCTCTCTCTCAGCAGGGGATCCTCAACCTCCCCAGTTTCTCCAAAATGTCCCCGAGCTCTCTTCAGATGTAAGCGATCCACTGTCATCAGTCAACCACAATGCTTCTCTGCGCCTCAGTCCCGGACACGTGCAAAATCCTTTGGAAAATGAGGGAAACGCTTCCTTGGCTCATACGACACTCAATCAGATATTCATCGGCTGCCAATCCACCACGAAATTCAGCCACCGACCGATGAACATG